GTCATTCCGGAAGGTTGTTCCACCATCCGGTCTAATTAGCATATTAGCTCTTTATTATATAGGATGTGTGTATGTTGGTATATTAGCTCCAAAATATGGGGGAAATTGCCAAATCAAAATGAATAAGTATTTAATGAAATATGTATATTTAAATAGAAATAATGAAATATAGCATGATTCAACCAGTCAGCTCTGGAATATTTCAACTCTTTGTTATGTATCGATTATCTCTATGCAGGATGTGGGTGGAGAAGGCGTGGGATGAGTGTGTGCTAAGAGACGCCAATGTTCTTAAAACAGCCTTATTCACAGATCCACCCAGATGGCCCTGGGGGAGGGACAGCTCCCCGAGGCGCTGGGTGCTGTCGGCCCATGGGCTGCCCCTTGCGGGGCACTTAGGATGTGCCAGGTACTGTTTCGCGGTGGTTCCTCCACTTTACGTCACAGCGGGCAGTGGCTTGCTGTCATATTGCCCACGGAGGCTCAGAGGCGGGAGGGCCCTTGCCTGGGGTGCCCTGGGTCGGATGTGGAGGACCAGGGTTCGAACCCAGACAGTCTGGCTGCAGACATGCTGTCAACCGCTCTCCCACATCACCTCTGCTACCCAGGGGAAGGGGAACGGCTGCCCGCAGGTGCCAAACACAGTGTCCCCCACACTGGCCCAATCCGCTCACCAGCACCAAGAAATGACCCTGGCATTCCTGTTAGAGTCCAGTTGCCAAAACCCTCCATCTCCCTCCCCTCCTCCCGGATCCAAAATGATCCTCTGACTGTCTGCCTCCTCTCCGTCCCCGGCCGCAGCAAGACACAGCGTTTACAGACCACAAATGCGATTATTACGAGGCAATTTCAGTTAGGTTCAGGGCTGGGAGAGAGAACAGAAGGGCCTGGCCCTCCCATTAGACTCCGAATGGTTCCCCGGCAGCACTTAACTCAGACAGATGGGAGAGCAGTGGCCAGGAGGGAGGCAGCTCACAGCTTTCCAACCAAGAGCTTCCTGCATGGGCCTGCAGGACCAGGAGGGAGTCTTACAGACAGATTTAGGAGTTAATAATCCCTCAGAGGGGGGAGGAGGGGAGGGAGGATTCTGACATCTGTCCCTATGACTCCATTAAACAAGATATAATGGAACAAGAAGGTGGCTAGAGAGGGGACCCTTTGGTGACAATGAAACTGTCGCCCTGAGTGGGCGCTGATATGGGCTGATCTGGGCTGTTTACAAACATTGTTCTCACAACCACCCCATGAGGTAAGTACTGTTGTTAACCCCCGTTTTAAAAAGGGATAAACTGAGGTGTCCAGAGATTAAACGACGCGCCCACGAACGCGCAGCTTGCCGCGTTGTGAAATATCTCCAAGGGCCCCTTTAAAATGGGAAGTGTTTTTGCCAGCGTCACTCCCTCCGGATTCCCCGTCATTTCCATCACAGCCGCTTGTCCTCATTTGTGTCGATTAAGTTCGCCTTCGACGATGTTCCTCTGGCTGCTCATCTAGAGGTTCCCGAGAGCGAGTCCTCATTCCCACGGGCGGCTCCATTTCTCCTCGACTGCAGGACATGCGACTCGGGTTTCCGTGTCAGCATCCTGACTTCCGGGGGTTTTCGCTGCACTTTGATCCCTGCCGCCGGTTCTCTCCTCTGAAAATCCACTTCTGCAGCGGTCTTGTCGCTGCATCCCTGGGACCGGTGCGTGGACGGAACGGCACGTGCCGTGACCGGTCACCGGCTGGCTTTGCAAGCAGCGCCGCGATTGGCCACGGATCGCGATGCCCACGTGTTATTTGCACACCGCTCTGTGGGCCGCAGAGCCGGCCGCGAAGTTTGAACTTTACGTGATCCCAGTGAACACCCTGTGTGGCTGCGTGGGGACCGTGCTGTGGGGACTGGCATTGAACTGATCTGTGGAAGCTGACGTGTGCACGTCGGGACCATGCAAAGCGAGCGCGGCCGGGCATGGCTGCTCCTCTTCCTGTCGTCAGTCCTGCGCACGGTGGAGCCCCGCTGCCCTGGCCCCGTTCACAGTCTGCTTCCTCGATCTCTCATCTCTCCCTCCCTCCCTCCCTCCCCCCCCCCCTCCCTCCCTCTCTCCCTCCCTTCTCTCTCTCTCTCTCTCTCCCTCCCTTCCTCCCCAACCCTCACCTCTGCTGCTGTCTTCCATGTAGCTTCAAACTCAAATGGACTCTCCCCTCTTAGTGGCAAGATGACCCCAAGCAGCCGCCAGCCCTGTGGAAGAAGAATGTCTCTTTGCCAGCAGTTCTTTAAAAGTTCAGGGCTGAGTCTCATTGGCCCAACTTGGGTAACATGCCTCTGCGTGAACCAGTGGCAGTAGCCAGGGGAATGTGGTGCTCTGATTGGTCGGGCTGAATTAAGATCAGCGCATGTGTACTTAAGTAAAGAAGTGATGGAACCCAGAGGGTCACAGTCAGGACCAGGCAGGCCAAACAGAAATCCCCACGGCCAGGTGTAAATGCCCCCCCCCCCCCCCGGGGCCTGGCACCCCGGAGGCAGTACCTGCTCCCTCCGTCTTTTCCCTGCTTCCCAGGGGCAGCGGGCAGCCAGGACATTGTCAGTGGCCTTTCCGTCATCTCATTCCTCGTAATCTGCCTGCCAAGTTGCTCCGCCCCCCACGCCAGCCCCCAGTTTGCTCTCCCTCTGGCACCATCCTCGCCGGGAGAGCTCAGTGACATCAGCCACGACACGGCTGTATTTTTCATCTTGACTTTCACTCCTGCTCACCCTCCTGGCTCCGTGTCCCCGCCCGCAGCCCTGGGCCCACACTGATTTGCGTGTCCCACCTCATCTGGTGCCAGAATAACCATTTTAAAAACTGCCTTGGGGAAATCTAATCAAATGAGAACAAAATCTAATTTGGCACTAAAAGCTTTTGACTGAAGCCCTGTTTTCCAGGGCCGTGTGGAGCCTGGATAATACACTCTTTCTGGGGTTTTTTCAGGGTTGAGGGTTGGAGAGGAGGGAGAGATGTGAAAGAGGAGATTCTAGCAGAGGAAGCAGCTCCGGGCACGTTGACACCCATGGCATTGGACAATAACAGGCAGGGCTGGGCCTCCCCAGCCACCCCGCTTCCCACCCCCAAGAAATCGCTCTCTCACCAGCCGGGCCAAGAAGTTAAGCTTGTTAGCATTCCACATTGCACACTTATCAGGAAGACCTTGGCCCACATCTTCAGGAACAAACCAGTCGATCCCACGCCAGGGACATGGGAGTCCTGGGGGGAGAACTCGGCCCCTTTCTCCAGGGCTGCGTTCAGAACAGTGAGGTTCTGTGCTGCTTAAGTTCTCGTGCCCTGCGTTCCTTTCGGAATACGTCAAAAGCTGTGGCCCTGTTCCCAGGAAGATGGACACAGAAGGCGAAGTCCGGCGTGTAATGTTTCAGAGGGCGTGTGCTCCGCTTAAGTATCCCCATCATGGTTCCCGTTGCTTCTCCTCCTTGTGGAGTCCAGG